CTGAGCTATCGCCGAGACCGTTCAACCTCAAGTCACATCGTTCTGATAATCCTTTCAGTAATGCTCAAATCTTCCGTCTGTATTGTATTATAATAATATTCAGTTCAATAGTACTCCTCAAATAAGACGTTATCGATTTTGTTATCGTAATATCAGTGGGAACAAAGGTAGTGGTGATAATGATAATAATTACTGGCAAGAGTAATTTTAGTATTGATCGTGAATATTTGAAATTTAAGGATTCCAATGCTGCGCGAATTTACGAGCGATGACGACAAACAACAAGCAACACTTTTGCTTGGAAATAGTCCACATATGCTGCCGATTTGCAATTTGATTAAAGCAATGAGAAGGTATTCATAGGAGAGTTTAAATATCTCAGATTCATTTGAAGAAATGAGAATTTTCGAATTATATCCTCAAAACATAAATGATTACGCGAGTTTATAAATGAAATCAGACGAATTCGGTCTTTAGTGCTGACGGATTTGATTCGATTTTTTAAAAGGATATCAAAATTTGTAAATTCAGCAACAAACGAACTCTCGGATTGATTCAAGAAGCTGTTAATCATTTCAGGTGTTCACCGGGGTTCATTCGCCTGTTTGGATATCCGTCATGCAGTCCCGTTTTCTGGTTCGGAGTTCTTCCGGATTTGGGTTTTGAGTTAGTCCTTTCCCTTATATATCTAAACTGAGACTGTTTTAATCAGGACTGATTAAAAACCCCGTTCAATAAAGTCATTGCCGAATCATGCAAACAAGCACCAACGTAATAATGCCGAATCATGCAAACAAGCACCAACGTAATGAAAGCCGAAAAATGCAAACAAGCACCAACGTAATGATTCTTTGCATGAATCGCTTCCAATCCCACAAAGATAGTCATTTCATTGATTCAAACAATACATAAATGGATAAAATATTGTGATGTCATAAACACAAATATCTGAATCCGAATTGCTGTTTTGATGTAATATTTTTGTGATGTGCAATCTGATCTTCATTGATAAATGTCAAACAAGTCAGTCACATTCCTATTAATGAATGCAAATTTGCATCCAATACTCATCTTCAATAATCAACATTATTATTGTGTGTATTTAGTATTTTTAATTATTCAGACACATTACTATTTGGACGAACCCTTTGAAAGAGANAACAATTCAACGAGTGTTATGAAATAGTACCTACGGACACGCATATATACTTGCCGAGTAATCTGCGAGAAAAAGTTCGTGAGTTTGAGCATTCGTTACGATTCGTATCTTTCATCAACGAGTCCAATCAAATTATTATTTTCACGCAGTTTTATATTCAATGTGAATCTCCAGTTTTATCTCGTTGCACTATCGGTGCCATTTCCTTCGACTGTAATGGAAGTTTTGCTTTCAGTTCGTCAAATTATTCAAACAACTAACAAATAACACGTATCCGTGGAAGTGTGCCTCATATCACCTCTTTCATATGAAGGAGGAACAACAAAAAAATGTTAGCGAAAAGAAGTTGGAGTTGCCGTCGGAATATCGATTCGACGACATACATCCAACTTCGGATGCTAAGATCATCGAGGGAACCGACGAAAGACGTGTCGAAATAATGAGGTATGCTGACACATTTCGATGCATTCCTTTTATGCACAAATATGCGTGAACTGATTAATGACATAAATTCGCCGAATAATTTGTTCATTTCGTTTACTAATATTTCAAGCTCCTTTCCTCCGCTTACAAAATTCCACAGTCGGCACCTAGGCCTTCTTTCAACATTACAAAAAGCTTTATCACACGTATTGCTGTCGATTCAGCATTTGACCGCCCCAAATTCAGCTGTTTAAAATTTGATAGTCGCAGAACAACCATCATTGCCCTGATTGTCAAAACTGATGTAGGAATGTTCAAAATTTAGTTTAATTTTTGCTTCCAGTCGCTAATCTCCATTGAAGAAGTGCCCTCGTTGATTCTGTTCACAACTAAAATTTATTGATATTTGCATCTTTTATCGGGCGATAAGCACTGATAAACACGACTTGTTCGTGACTTTTCGATCACTGTTTGTATTGGGAAATTGGTTGAGCGTTGTTTGTGGTGAGCTGTAAATACAGTATCATTGCAATGATAATTATGCGAACGATGTTCAGAAATTGAGTTGTCTTTAATCAGTGTGTGCGGTATCTTCATCGAATTACATTACAATTACGGTTACAGATTTATTTTGGAATGCACTTTAAGGAAAATGTACGAATGCCTACCGACTGTAGCTGTTCGTTCTGGGGACGTGCTGAAGGGTGTTGGAGCCTTCGCACTCTGCACATTCTATTTACCGTGGGGAAAGACGCTCTCAAAAGAGGTCAAATCAATCCTTGAAATGCGAGTTTGGCAAGAATGCGTCAGGTCAGTCCGACATCTTAGCGAATTTAATTTATTTATTGAAATAGTTTCCGTTCGTAATGTTG